GTTCCCCTGCCACCTCTTCCCCTCACATTTTTGTGTCAGTTGCGCGTCTTTCCGCTTCCGTTTTGCTTGCCACAAGACGACGTCGACATCGACGGCGACGCGACCCGAAGCGACCCCATAAATCCGTTCACTGTTTGTCTTAGATCGTCCTGGGCCCCGTAACCCCCCACTACCCACTAGCTTCTCCCCCTGTCGCCAGCTATCCTACACATATTTATTTTCCTTTTAGATGTATGTTTTCTTTTATATATTTTTTTTCTTTTGCTGATTTTATTGCATCGCTCTGGCAGTTCAATGAACGCATTTGCCGTCGCCATTTGCCAACTTCCCCAGGTCTCCTCCCCAAAACGCCCTTCCCCATAGCAGCCCCCTCTCTAATCCTGCCCGGCCATCCCTCCTTGACATGTTGTTTTTCTTAAATTTCAAATATTCCAACATATTACATTCTCATACTCGGTGGAGGCACGCAAACATTTTGGCGCACATTTCCGCAGGAAAATGGCAGCCGAAATGCCAAAAGGCCAGCAGACCAGATGGTTACCAGGTTTGAGGTTTGAGGGGGTGGCAGGTAGCCAGGGGGTGGGGGTCGACCTTTTGCAACTTGTTCATGCCGCTTGACATGCAACTTGGGGCAGGAAAGGGAGCACTACGGCTAGAATTGTAAGGCCGAAAAGGGGGGCTACTTTGTTATCCTGCTGACAATGGAACAAGTTATATATATTTTCTTAAATAAAAAATGAAATATATTAATTTAAAGGATAAGGATATTTTTAAGAAATGATAAGGATACTTCACTGGAGAGAAAATTCATATGAAATTAAAACAAAAGCAAATTAAGGCTTGAAGCTCTCTTCGAAAAATACGTTCCTAGTAAGAAATTTGATCCCTCATCTTTTTAATTTTATGTTAATTAATTAAACCAATTTTAAAATAAATTTAAATTAAACCAAACCACTGTGCCTGACCCTCCCCTTTTCACCTTTCAACGGTCTGGTCCATTATGTTATTACATTTAGTACAATAACCAAATTACAGGTCTGTCCAGGAGGCAGGCACTTCCGTTCTATTGATTACATTTGCATTTTGATTAACAAATGATTCGACCCCCGCCGGATCTTATCCCCCCCTCCATCTGGGGGGTAATTCACTCACCTATATGTATGCCCCGTACGAGTATTTAGATTTGCTTTAATCACTTATATTACTTGTCAAACACGAATCGCCCGCCGGCCACAATTTCCACACAACAGACCAGACCCCGATGGTTGGGGAGGGAAATATTTTGTTGGCTTTGCGGTTTTTTGTTTACATGTTTTTTGGGAACAACGACAAGTGTAAATTTCAGTAAGCCTTTGGCTCTTGTGGTCGGGCCTCCGAAAAATAATTCAATATCCATAAACGACACGTGCCAACAGGCAAACAGGGAAAGGAAACCACAAGATCCTGTCAAGATACACACACAAACACGCCCGTACAATTAAAGCCCATTAGCCAGGCCTTAAAGTAAAAAATTGAATAAAACTGAATATAGCCGGGCAGCGGTGGCGATAAGGTAGCTGTCCGCCTAGTTAGTAGTATTATTAATATACGATCCGATAGCAAAGTCCGCGGTGGAGAAGCGGATGCCACTGGAGACGATCTGATATAGTCGGTGTCACGGAATCTTTGTCGAGGAATTTCGTTCCGATTTATTTACGATTTATTTTGATTTTGCCATTTGGGACAATCTTTATGGGCTTTCCACCGACCAGCGACTCGACCATCGGCTCATAAATCTTGTCCAGCTGTGGCGCTCTAATGCCAAATTCGCACGTCATCCTGGTCAGAAGGGTGTATAGGACGGTGTGTGACCCAGGCGTCCCCAATTGACTGATAAGCCATTTCGGTTTTAAAATTGTGTCTAGTCATCTATGAAGTATTTTAAGAGAATCTAAGAATTCTTTTAGTATTTCCACACAAGGCTTAAATAGTCACACTCTTTTGGCCAACATTTTCAGTCATTTTCTATAATTATTTCCTAATCAAGGGTCTTTCCCTAATCACTCTTCCTCACTTTCTGTCAAAACTTTCACCGCTTCCGACTGTCGGCCACTTCCTTCTCGCTTTCCGTTGTCCATGACTCATTGGCCAAGTATTTTCGAAATTTTCAACTGGCCAATTGAAGTAGGAGGCTCGCCAATAGGCCAACTAGCGCGTGGGCCAAGAGTTTAATCGTAATCAGTCATTGTTATTGATTGAGTGAGTGCTGCACCGCCAAGACCACCAGCAACCTGCCACCACCCAGCCTGCCACCTCCCTACTGCCACCTACCACCCATTGAGTCGAAAATACCGCTATGATTGACAGCAAATAACGGCGCTTCGTGTGCGAGCGAGCGAGGGAGAGGCGGCGATTAGGGAGCTGGTCAGCAGTTGGCCACAAAGTTCAAGTGGGGCCAGAAGCAGAGTTGCCAACCCGTTTAACCACCACATGGGGCTGTCAACACTATAATCTAAACAAAATATCCATTTTTTGTTCGTTTTTCGTAAACGGGTAGTATGAAAAAAATGCAGTAATTTAATTAAAAATAATTATTTACGCTCCAATAAAAATCATTGGCTATGGAGATTAAAGAAATTCCTTAAATGTTAATATTAGTTATTGGTAAATTGCCAACCATAATTAATTTATAATCAGACAAAAGGTTATTAAAACCCCTTCCCTTAAGAGTATCTAACCCCTATGATACTACCAACAATATCTCCCCAAAAACTAACCAAAATGGCAAATTAAATTGTTAAGTTTATTAAACAGCCTGAATGTCAAAAATGCCAAACGGTAAATGGTAAAAAAAAAAAATTGTTTTTGGACAGGCCTTGGTTTTTGGCCAAAACAACAGCTTGGCTCACTCTCGGCCATTAGGCAGACAATAAGCAGCGTCTTTTTAAATGCCTGTCTTTGGCAGGTTCTCGCCGAGGCGGCTGGCGCATGCAATTAAAGCCAAGCCGTGCCAGGCCAAAACCAAAGCTAAAGCCAAAGCCAAGTAGTTGGCCAAGAAGACCACCCACGCTGGCCAATTAGTTTGATGAGCGTTTTTTCGGCTGCCGTTGACGGCAAATGGGCAGTGGCAGTGCGAAAGGAAAAAATTAATTAACTTTTTGCGGTATCCACTTGATTGGCCAAGAGCCCTGCGAAGAAAACCTAAAATAAAGATTGATTTGAGTTAGCGATATGTTTTTGGTCAAAAACCTGACCTCGCCAGAGGTTAGTAGCGAGTACGGCTACTCATTTCTGATCACGTTTTGCACTCGAACTTGGTGATAATCAAAACACGTTGCTGAAATCTCTAAAATACCATCTTACTGTCCTAAAAACAAACAATCCCATTCAGAATTTTCCAGGTAATTTCCATTTCAACACATAACGTATTTCAAGAGGTTCTGAGTCCCAAACATTACGATTATTTGTCCCATTTAGTACTCTATGTAGTAGGTGCAAAATTCAGCAACTGTGCAATCTCGATGACAAGTCTAGCAACTTTTATTTCGCTAATGAACAGCCCTCGGCTATCACTTGACAACTTAACATATTTCGAGTTGTTTGTAACCGAATCTAATCGTTGCCAATCTTCGGAGCACATTCCTTGTGACGTCACAGCGATAGCAACAGAATCGCCAATCTTATATGGCTCGTGACTATATACTTTATGCCAAATACTTTCCCGAAACCTCGAATGTGGTAAGAGTTTGCTGCTGTGCGATGTTGGCAGTTGGCAACAGCTATGATAAGTTGGCCAAAAAGTAAAAAGCTAATTGTTTACTATTTTATGGCAGGGGGAGCTTGCCATCTGACTCACAGACCTGGTGAAATCGGATTGACAAAATATGTACACTGCTAAGGGTAAAGAATTCTTGCACTTTGGACCTGCAGATATGGGTTGATTGAAGGGGTGACAATCACACTAAATCCCACTTAAGGTCCCTGTTATTTTCCCTTCAAACTTGAAAAGTGTAATTATCTGTCGAGTGCTGAAATTTGCCTTCAACTGTTTTGTCGGCGAGACTGTAATGTCATTGGGCTTTAATTTTAATCAACAGCTCCCCGATGGCCAGATGGTATAACAAATGTTTCACATCGTAATCCACTTGAACTGGTAATAGTCTTAGTGTCAGAATCAATTCTTGGACTCTACTTAGAGGATGGTTATTTTCAAAGTCCAATACCATCCATCGCACCTAATTTAAGCCGACTTTAATGAGCCCTAAGTGCCCCCGCAGTGGGCCAATCCAATCCAATCGCCAGTCAATCAATCCCCTTTTGCTGCGTTTTTGCCAAAGTGCGTCAGCAATCAACCATCCGGCCAAGTGGCTTGTCAGTGGCATCAAAAATCAGGCTTCTCACTGAATCGGCGGTGACAATGGCCCATTATCGGGGGGGATTACAAGGACGCGGGGCAGCACATGGAGGGAAAAGGACGTGGCAGGCGGACTGCTCACGGTGCACAAATCGCCATTGTCTTGTCGAACAAAAGAAACACACTGGGAGCGGTGGCAGTGGCACGTCCATGTCCGTCAATCGATTGCCACTGGACCGCGCCCCCCTTTTTTTCTTGTGTTGTGTGCCACATCCTGTCCTAGGCATTGTCAATCAATGTTCAATCAACTACTTGCATTTTTGGCAACTTCCGAATCAGAGGCGGATCAGGACAGCACCACCCACATGACACACTTCTAATCCACTTGGAAAAAAAATCTTCAAAAATAAGTGACAAATTTTTGAAATAATCTTTATAAGGGAATTACATTAAAAACAAAAAGATGGACACACATTTTTCCAAGTGTCCTGGTCCTTTCCAGAGGCCTGAACGGATGTCGCATGCGGGTCCTTGTTCTGTTGCTTTATTGTGACCCTAATCGCTTTAAATTGTGATACACTTAGGGGTGGTTCCGGCTTTATTGCTTGGGTGTTGAGCGTTTTTATGACCAGTTCCGGAACTATTGCCATTCTCCGGATTGAGCCCATTAGAGGAGCAGTTCGCCCAGGAAGCAGATCCCAGCGAGGGCGTGTCCACAGCCCAGTACCATGGCGGCCATCACAATGTCCTCCAGTCGCAGCGGTTCAATAGTTTGCGTCTGAGTGGGAAAGAAATGGAGGAAGCCGGCTCTAATGGCCAACTCGTGGACATCGTCCACTAATTTATTTTGCAGACCAGTCTCGAATAATCGTTGTATGTGCTCATTATAGTATTTCTCCAAAACCCAATTCTGTTTAATGACTTGGACGGCCCAGGTGTGGCCCACAGGATTAGGTAGTTTCTTCATTCTTCGACGGCGCAAGAACTTCTGTTGGTACAAATAAAAGTCCATGCGGTCCTCGGAGTCCACGTAGGCGTAACTGGGATCCAAGCCATCTCTCTTCTCTTTGTGCAGGGACTCCTCCACCAGGAGGAACCTTTCCCTGAGCTCCTCCGAGCTTCCGTAGATGGAATTGGGTCGGAGGTTGTGCTGCTGCAGGAGGATACTCACGTTGGCTGCCTTCAGATCGGCTATATTTTCAATGGGTCTTTGGTACAACTTGGTGGTCAGCATCATGGAGAGCAAAGCCACATACAAATTCGATAAAACAAAGCCTATGGCGAAGAGTAGAAGAAACAGCATCAGTTTCGAGCCGCTGGAACACTGGGGAAGGGTCAGTCCCCGGGACAGCAGGGTCTCCACCGCCAGCAGGAGGTACTGACCCACATCCCAGTTGCCAAAGTGCCAACGGTGGAGCAAAGAACCCATCACCGATATGTAGACTACTATGAGGCCAGTGCCCAGCCACACATAGAAGTCGAAGGGTCGGAAGAAGTAGTAAAACTTGTCGATGGGATTGCCGAAGGGAGCCATTATGGCCACGCGGTTCAGGCGAACTGGCTGACTGGTGGCATACTTGTAGGTCCTTATGAAGATGCTGCCACAGGCCTCGGCTTCGTCTTTGGCAACTATGTCCACGCATTCGGCGGTAAAGTACCGTCTTAGTCCTGGAAAGGGCACTGCCTGAAAGCTGGCATTAAGTTTATCGGCGAATATCTTGAAGATTGTGATGATGCTGCCTTTGTAGCGATTCGGGGAGTGTGGCAGCTCCTGTTCATCCACAAAACAGTGCGGAGGATCGTTGGTCACCAAAACTCGTAAAGGATAACCATTCAAGTTTACTTTATCTCGGTTTACCAAATACTCTTTTAAGTTGGTTTTTCTAACTTCAAAATAAGGATAAGGTTGTAGAGACCAAAGTTGTTCTTGAAAATCAGAAATCAACACGTGAGGGAAACCTGCCTTCCAATAGGTTTTGAAAATCTCCATGTAACTCTTGTCACTTTTTTCACTTTTGTCTATAAGTAGGATATCATTATATTGCCTATCCTTTAGATAGGATCTGAGCACTTCTACGATTTCCAGATTATAGTCCAAATCAGGCTCCAGAATTGTTATAATAATCACAGGCTCATCGTGAAAGATTTGAAACTCTTCGCTGATGTTTTTGTGGACCAGTAGTTTTGGATGTTCACTCTTTAAATCAAATTGATCAAAGCTCTCAATTGAATAGCCAAAGTATATATGAGTCCTATATTTAAGCTCCAAAGACAGTTGACTTGGAAGTTCTTGAGGATTTGTGGAAACCACTTTTAGAAAAAGGAATATTTTTAAGAAATTAAGTAACGACATCTTGAGTGGCTGGTAAACTAATGAACTGAAGTATTGAATAGATTCAACACCTAAGCTTAGTTGGTCCGATTAATTAGTCTTTCTTGTTAGTCAAGCAAACTAATTAAATGACATAATTAAATAATTATAGGATGTTGGTGCAGGAAATTAATAAGGAATTGAGGTAAACAAGGTGCCCCCTGAAAAATAAACCAGGCAATTTGTTTTTATTTTATTAGAAACATAAATCAATTTTCTTTATGAAAATAATTTTTCTTCAATTTAAAGTACATCATAAACATTTAAAAATTAATTTGTAAACTTTATTAGTTAAAACTCAATTATAAACATCAAGCAGTCTACTGTAATAATGTATGTTAACATTTTCGCACTGCTTCGATTGACAAAAGCTGTTAGTTAACAGACCGTGTTGCTGCAACATTTTTTCTCAACATTTTCCTTGAAAAAAAATTAAAATTTAACAGAGAAAACATTAAAAATTAGCAGACTTAGCAGACAGCGGGAAAATGGGCCAAATTTGAAAATTAAATTCTTATCAAATTAATGCAATGCAAATAAATAATTTAAATAAAAATTTATCATTAAAATCTTTTTGGAATAACTTTAGAAAAATTTGTGAAAATGTCCATGGCGTATTGGTGTTGGTGCTGCAACAGACGTGTTGTGTTGCTGGTTGCTGCTGCTGATGTTGCTTGTTGCTCTTGCGTTGGTGTTGCACGTTTCGCTTCGGTTTAGTCTCGATAATTCAATCGCCCTGCAAAGACGTTCAACGTCTCGCGCCCGATTTTTTCGATTTAAGCCTTACGTCTTTTAGCTAAGCATTACGCGACTTTTGGTGTTACGTATCGTATTACCGAAAACATAAAATAAAAATCCACGAATTAGCCTGGCAGCACCGACTCGACTTGAAACGTGCCACCGAGCAGGTCGCATTAAAGGTTTATTATCGAATATTATTATTTTGTTATTGAGTTGCGGAAGTACATCGCGTGTGTGTTTGTGTGAACATAAAAAAAAAACATCATTCCTGAGAATATTGCAAAAAAAAAATATTCAACGACCTCTTCCATTTATTAAATGGAAAATGTGGCGGTGTCAAAATTATCGGTCAAGTGAGGCGATTACAAGGGGATTACAACTTACCAATGTCATCCAAATCAATTAACCGCCACTTTATCACCAAACTACAACAACAACAAGTGCAACAGCAACAGCTACACTGCAACAAACGACGCCTCTAAAGCTTTAGTTTACTGCTCTCTTCTGGCAGTAAATGGGTTAAAATTATGTACATTAATCGCCGAATGAATGTCGAATCAGTTAGAGAGACTGCTGTTTTTTATTGTGAGTATTATGGGCTTTGACCCATTGAAGGTGAACCTTTTATTGATGTGTGTGGTGTGGTGTGGTTTGGTTTAATTATCCAACTACCTTTTTTATAATCACCATTATCCCACTTGACTCTTCGATTGATTGGCGCCGTGGCGTTCTACGCAGAACCCTCGAAAATTTACAGCGCCAAGTCGAACCACTCGAATGGCAATACCCTCCAAATCTATAAAAAAAAAACCTATTTTATCAAAAGCCTCCTTAAGACAAGTTGCAGCCTCAATCAACTATCAAGACTATCAAGCGGCAAATTAGCCAAGTTACAAAGAACTTACAGGCCAAATACTTCCTCAATGCTCGACTCACACCCGAAAGAAACCTGCCACCAAGAAAAAGCCCTCCAAGTTGGTAGCTTCGAAATCTTATCAAGGCGCACGCTTTGTAATGCTATCGAGCACTTCCTCGCCTCGAATTTATGCCCAGGGGTAACCTCGTTTCGATCCCCCGTAACCAATTGTGGTTGCATGATTTTCCCAGCAAGCCCTCCACTCGGAGAAATTCAACAATACTCTTGGCTCCCTATTACCTCAATAAGTTTACAATTTCTTTCCGTGTAATGCCTTGTGGGTGGCAAGCTCAAGGGGGATGGGCGACGGTGGACCGGGTAAAGTGAAGTGGGCTGGGAGGCAACCAAATGCATTATTTTGTAATTATCGACAGAGTTCTAATAAATAAAGCGTAGCAAGGCCCCACACAAAAGTGTTTGGTTTTTTTTCTAGGTTGATGAAATTATGAATGGAGATAAGGTGTGGCATGTGTGTGTGAAAGAGGGGACTGGTTGTAACTCTCTCATTCATTCAGATATCCGTAAGAGGGGTCTGCGGTCCCCCAGATAGTGCCAAGTCCATCTTTTTACAATTTCCTGGACAGATAGCCCTTAAGTCTATATCGTAAATCTGGAAATAAATCTTGCAAATTTGCCAACCACTCGTAATTGGGCATTCCAGAAATCGCATTATCAAAGTCCTTCCTCTGTAAGGTGTTAACCGCTTATATATCACAAGAATATCTGGGTCCAAACTGATTTACAACCTGACCTGGCACAATAACAAAAGGGTGGCCACTAGAAACGAGTGCCGCCTGCCTGGCGAAACCAATAAGTTCATTAAATCAAAGGCGCGATTATTAATGAATGTAATAAAATATCAAAAAGACAACTAATCAAACATGATAAATTACCCAACATACCGACACATCGAAGGGTTTGGGGGCTAAAGGCTACCGACATACGCTTCCCAAAGGGCAGACCCGGGGCTGTGGCACTCCGAGATGGCAAACAAACAACATGAAATACTTTTGTTCTTTTGTTTGCACTGTGCTCTGGATATCAAAGTATTTGTAGTGACAACGTGTAAACATTGGTATGCAATTTAGGTTTTGATATTTTCACGTTAGTATCTGTTAGATACAATTATTGATGGCCCCCTTAGTAGATAGCACTGCGATAAGGTTTGCCTCATACATGAGTGAGAGAAAACTAGATATATACAATAAAATATTCTCTATCCTTTTTTAGATTAACTATCACTAAGATATCTGTTATAATTCCAAGTCCTTGAACTCTTTTTTTGTTTGTTACTTTCTAGGTGGTGATTTCAGGTGCATTATGTACAGTAGAAGATTACGTAATAATGTCACTGTGTGCACAAGACAAAGCCATACACCTAGCTGCGGAAGGAACAGTCTCAGTGACAGACACTTCACAGATACGTAAGTATTCCAATAAATTTACTACTTAACCCCCTCGTGCCCCTAACACCTCAAGTGCCCCCCACCACCAGTATATGTTTTTTGTTTATTGACACGTCTGCAGGAAACGCCTTCACATTGCCATCTAATTTACAATTTCCAACTCCTCCACTTTCTATATACCTTTCACAAAACAATACTACGATACGATATTGTATATCCATGAAAACAAAAATATTTCAACTATTTACAGTAGTTTGTTGCCGCCGTTTGTTTGCTTTAATTTCCATGACAATAGCTTGGCATGGGGAAGATGGGGCATACCACCTCTTGACTTGACCAAAAGAAAAAATGCTACAATTGTAAAAAAGTTATTAATAATAGTGAGGTGGCAACTGTCATTGAAATTCATGACGAAACACACTTGAGATGCTGCAACAATACGGATGTTAAAGATACTTTTTTAGGGAAAAGATATTCTAGGGCTTTTTTGGTCAGTTTTCAAGCCACACATAAAATACGTAATTTATTGCAAAAACAGCCGCACTCTCAGAAGAAAAACATAAAAATTTGCTACGCTTTGGGTCAACTTTCACTCGTCTTACTTTAGTGGAAACAACAACAACCATCTGACCATGGCCAATTAGAGCCGCTGCAGCTGCTGGTTGAAGACCAAAAGAAAGACACAAAAAAAAAAACAATATAATGGGCAAGGACCAGCACGAGCTACACAACCTTACAGCCTCACACAGCAGGATAATAGGGGAAGCTAAAGGACAATGGGTTCACAAGAAGCAAGGAAAATCATAGAGAAAATGCTAGAAAAATGCTGGAAAATGCAGCAACAACAGGTGCAAAAATGATTTTTTTGTTTTGTTGCGAGTGCGCGTGAAAATTTCCAGCTGGTCTCTGGGACTAGGTCTCTAAGACCACTTAAGGACTAATGTGCGAAAGTTCCTTTGTCAATTTTCACGCCCTCTCTAGCCTCGGCCTCGACCCTGAAGAACTTCATTCATTTGCATGACTAAGCTCAGGTAGTCGAGGATTATCCCACAGATCCCTCCCAGTTCCCTGTTTAACCAAAGCTGCTGTTTTTCGGATTTCTGGGTTTATCCCACTTGTTTAGCTGGGAATTTCCGCTGGCGGATTTGTGGCGGATAATATGGTCAGCCAGCCATATTTCTGGTTAGCTGGAAAACATATACATATAATGTAGGGGATGAAGGCTAATGAATCTTGACATCTCAATCAATTGCGAGGAGAAAGGGCGGGTAAAGGTGGAACTTTCACCACCCCGAGAAAAACCACACGAAACCACAACATTTTCCCATTTTCCCAAAACAGAAGCGGGCCCACATGTCAATAAATCACACGATTTAATTTCGGACCAACAGAAGGCGAAAATTGTTGAGGTGGCTTGTGGCACGGATACGGATTTATGTTTATACGGATTTGGATTCCGAATCGGGTTGGTTCTAGGACTGGCAATGCAGGGTCCTAGGGTCCAGGGCCATAAAACATTTTATAGCTCATCATGTGCGGTCATAAATTTAAGAACGCAATCGCTTCTGGCTCCCCCTATACTCAGATACTTTGTCTATGGGGTTATAACCATGGCTATATGTTCGGGGCGTTGCCCAATCAACGCCTAACCCTTACCCCTCGGGATGCATGTAACAAGTAACGAAACCGTTAATTTCTTGATCAAATGAATTCCAGACCCAGTCTTAAGGGGCCAGCCTCTGGGACCCATTCTTGGCACTTGGAAGTTCTGTTTCGTGTTTACCTTGTAGTTCATTAAAAATGTTTAGCATTGTTCAGCATCGTTGAGGGGGCAGCAGCGCCAGCGATCAATCAGAGACACTTTTGAAGAAGCCGGCTGTAATTCATATAACAAGATGGTTTCAAGAAGTCCAGAACTGCCAAATATTTGGCCGAAAAACCATTCACCCTTCTAGCCATTCATCTTTCGGTAACTCTCCCTGTTTGACTACCAAAATCTGGCTTAAACAAATTTGTTAATCCTTTTTCCTACCCATCACTGGCCACAAAAACTTAATCGTCTACATACCTAACCTTCCTATTTGTTTGTGATTTGATCACATACATGAACACCCCGGTTGGTATGGTATTCCCAAAGAAAATCCCTCAATGACTTTGCCGCCTGTCCCTGAGCCCAAAAAAAAAATGGAGAAAAAAAACGTAGACATCCGAGACCCAGACGAAGAGGTGCTAATAATGTGGGAAATATTTAGCACCATCATTACAAACATCATTAAAATATAAATAGATGTGTTTAACATGAACACCCAAAAGGGAAAACGAAGGAAAAGACAGAAAGTTTGACTTTGGCTGGGAATCATGGGTCAGAAAGGAAATCATGGCCCGAAAGAGATTCCAAGAAATAGCACATGGAATCCGGGATGGGGGCTATAGTATATAGAATATTGAACCGGCACCGAACGTTGTCCGATCGCGCAGATTCATCAATTAACGCCCAGCGACAGAGACAGGGCGATGGTCGCCGATAGAGACGGCTAACACCCCTTCAGTCCGGGCCAAGACGTCAGCAAATAAATGCATTTCCGTTGACCAGCCAGCACACAAACAAAATTTCCAAGAGACGCCGACGCCGAAGCCGTCGAGTCGACCAAGTCGTGGCTTTAGAAAATGTTGATGTTGAAAAATTCCCAAACAGATTCGATATGATATTCTTTTACCTACCGCGCGACTTTGTCGAAAACGACGAGAAGAAAAAAGGGGCTCAAACGGTTAAGAAAACATGGTCAACAACAAAGCCGAACAAGTGTACCGCTTGCCGATCGTCAGTTCGACAGTTTTTGGTCAATTGCTTCACTCGATCTTTCTTGTTTTTTTTTTATTTTTTGGAAAATTTAGAAAGAGACGGGGAGTGGGGAGTGTGAAAGAGAGGGACTGCATTGATTTCCACTTAACGCTTCAAAACTCAAGTGGCCATTCCATTCCATTTCGAGCCAAGTTTACAGTTGAAGTAAAATACGCTTTCGTTCCTGGCCCAGTCTATGTATGTCTGTTTCAATATTATTGTTTCCCACAGTTGGTCAGAAAATATTTAAGCGCCAATTTGATGTAGTTTTCCTTGTCCCAGTAGTTTTTCTATTTTCCTCTTCTATTTTGTTGTCTTCTCAAGTGTCTCCCCCCTTCAATTTGAATAACAATGCCCCGTTCGGCTCGTCTTCAAAGCTGGCTTTCTTTCTAACCGAAATTTTTTTTCCTTTTTGGCTTCGATATTGGTATTGAGCGATTGGATCGTTTGATCTGCCAGTTGGCAGCAAGGAGCTGGCCTGTCAGCAATTACGCACTTGAAATCTCCACAAGGCCAAAAAAAAGGGGCTAGTCAACCGCCTAGAAATCAAAAGTTCTTGGAATTTGTATAGCGTGGGAATACCATCTATGGGCGTTGAATAGTAGTAGTACCGGGTATCATATAGCCCTTCATTCTTTAGTATTTTTGAGTTATTAATTATCAGGAAATGCAACCGAATCATGTTCTAATCAATAAAACCCACCACATGACCCACTCCATGTCTGATTATCGGTGAGATAATCGTCAGCAGACCCAACTCAAACTCATAACTATAGCACACTCCACAAAAACCCGCTCACCGTTAAATTGTGCATTTTACGAGCTCGATTCCTAATACCCCAATACCCTTATACCATAATACCCAATTCCAAATCCAGAAACGAAAAACCATTAAAGAAATGCCGTGGATAAAACAAAACGCCGCCGAACGACGATCTCCGATCTTTGTGGCTATAAATTCATCAAACAAATAACGCTTAGCCAGAGCCGAAAAGAGCTAGCTAGTGATCGACATGAATATTAAAAACCACAAAACTATAATCACGGCATTATGATCACCGATCACCGATCGCCCATCGCCGGTCGTCTGTGGACCCTGGCAAACATATCAATCTCAATATGGATTCTTTTTGAGCCACCGTTGTTGGCCTGCTCGTTTTTTAATTCTTTTTCTGTATTTTTTTTTTGTTTTTTGGTGGTGGTGCAGCTATTAACTGCCTGCAGACAACCTAATGGACAAGATCTTTCGTCACTCCCCGAAAAGAATGTACCTTTTTGGTGTGTTGGTCCGCCGCAGAGATCGATCGTACGATAGATGGACGACGAGGCTGGAGCGATCTGCTGTCGCCCGATGTGTGGCTGATCCCTAAATACCCTTTAAATTGAACTTAATTCCCCCACACTGCATTTATCATCATTTATATCAGCAGGGCCCTTCCGCTTTTTCCTTTTTTTGTAGTTTTTGTTGATTTGGAGGAGTTAACCCTGTTTTTGGATGAGTGGTGAGATATAGTATCTCTTGGGTTGTGTAATGAGAGTGAAGCATCTGTTAAGGGTTTCTACTGGATGATCCCGTATTGCTTCTTAGGATTCTGAACCCCTTTAAATTCAAATACACTTTATTTTTGGATATATATAAATCAGCTCAGCACAATCGATAATCTTCAGTGTCTCTTCAATTGATTTACTCTAATTTATTTTAAGCATCTCGCGTCTCAAGCCAATATTTCCTCGAAAAACTAAAAGTTTCCGTGTCATTGGGCAGGAAATGTCGCAAGCTTTGAGGTCGGGATACAAAGATACAAATAAATAAAATTGTGGCCAAATCCAAGTGGACTGTCGGTTGATCATTGCGGCAGAACGGAAATGCATTCATTTGTCAGTTGGCTTGTGCCGAGCCAAATAAATCAATTCCCTTTGGCCAGACTGGCACCTTCCTTTCCTTTAGAATTCTTTTCCAGCCGGACTGCCACTTTCCAATTACGTAAAACCAGGGGGAAATTGACAGGGAAAGGAGCGGAGGACATCGCGTGCAGATATGCAAATCCATCGGGGTCCTTCAGTCTTTGGTATCGAATCGAGTCTCACTACCGTTTAATGAGCTTATGATGATGGTGGCTCACTTTGCATGACTCAAACTCGAACCTCGAAAAAAAGAACAGAAACAGAAACCCCA